AAAAACTTATCCGAACGCGTATATATGAGTGTAGTCAAGTTAAAAATAAATTACTTTGTCACAGTTTTTTCATAAATGTGCCTCTGCAACGGATTTGAAGTTAAAGTTTTAAAAATTGTCACGTTAATGTAGAAAATTTTTGTTTTCAAGGATTCGGTTACTATAAACCAAAATTAATTTATTTCAATCGATCTCGTTGATCCCGACCTCTGCCCAAGAAAATGATCTAAGAGTATCAATGATAACATTTTTGAAACGAGGCAAGCTTTGTTGAATATTCTTTGTTTTTTACTTTAGATGAAGAAGTAACTTATTAATAACTAAAGCTACTGCAAGATGCACTCTTCTTTTGACAACTAATTCTTCGTATCAACCGTTTATATCAATTTTCATCGGACAATTTTAGAATTACAAGTTGCCGTCATAAGAAGGCGCGTATTTTCTTAGAACGTTTACATTGAAGGGGGTTTGAAAATAGGCCCCACCTTATCCACATTCTTTGCATTTGTTTACTACTCCTTTTCCCTGACTTTTCTTAAGTAATATTAAAAGTCACGACAATTTTTCATACAATAACTTTTTGAAAGTAGGCTTTTACAAAAAAAAATTCGCAAAAATGATTCGCTCGAGGCCCTTCTCAATAGCATTCATTCTTAAGTCAAAATAGGTCAGTCTATCATATGTTAGGAAAATATCTTGAAAATTTGCGACCGCTAGTGTGAATACAAGAACACATGGACATACGCGAGATTCGGGAAATAATTCTAAATCGACTATGTAGGTGAGAACAGCCGAATGCGTCCGCACAAACTTAATAGATATTTGGATGTTTGGCTTAGCGCGTAAACTTCTGAAAAATTGCAGAACAGAATCAGATAAACACTTATGCTAAGCATCTTGTTTTTATTATTATTTAAAGCAATTACCTAATTACTTAATTAGTCGTTAAAACATCGCCAGTTTTTTTTGCCCGCCATAATGCTATGCCCTTTAGCTGCTTAAGAATTGCCTAATGGGCGCGTAATATTTCTCATTGCCAATGGGCTAGTAGCTTGAATTTGCTGAAAGCATGCAAGATAAAGCAAGCATGTTAATCTTACTGTAAAAACCGATGACTTTTACAATTGAAAGCAATTATCTTCATTGTCATCGTTAATTACATCACCTTCTTCATTATATTTACGTGATATTCGTTGTCGACGGTCATAACATCGAGTTCACTATAAACACTATAAAAAGTTAAATGTTATCTTGCGCCAAAAAAAGAACAAATCCGTGATTTACGGAAGACAAATAAATTACATTTAACTCAAAACGAATCTTGATTGCCCACCCTATTTGTGGATAGCATTTTTAACGGGACAAACTGCTCTTTATTTGCGTAGAAGAATACCAAAAATTTCGTGTCTTATTAAGCTTTGTAAAAGATTTAGTTGAAAGGAAATTCGTTCTTCTTCTTCTCCTCCTCGCCAAACCCTCATAAATTTAACCTTGTTTAACTAATTTTTTGTTAATTTTATTTAAGGGGAGTGCCCACCGCAACAGCCCAAAACGAAAGCATTTTTTTGGATGGAGGGAAATCCAACAGAGTGATGAGGTTACTGACGACACATTTAAGTATTAAAATGATACTTTTGTTTTTAATATGTTAAAAATGCAACACAGCGGCTACGTTCGCGAGGCATCTTGTATTTAAGAAGCTCCAGGCGATGCATTGTAAAGTTGAATCTAAAAAAATATACCAGTTAATCTATAACGCATGCCTATACGCATTTTTGCTTGATTCCCCAGTATTTAAATGAACAAGTCCAATATATGACGCAAAATATGGCAAGCTTTCGTTAAAAGCTTTTGTTTAAATTTTCCCGCGTCGCCCGTATTTCAGTAGAGAATATGATTGTAAAGGTATTGTAAAAAAATGAAATGAATGCAATGAAAATTGTTGAACGCAACTCGAGGAACCATAAATGCCGACCCACTAAAAGAAAAAAATTAAGAAACTCCTCCCTTCCTTGCCGCACAATAATGTCATAAAGGCTAAGCAGAAGTCTACCTTTCATAAAACTAAGGATGGAGCAATCTAAAAAACACGGAACATAATCTGAGATAAGGCACATTTCCTCAAGGAGAACGCTTAGTAACTAAGTGGAATAATTAATGTGCTGACCGCTCTAGTTTTAATTCCAATGGGCGTACGGAAATTCAAGGAAAATTGACCCACAGGGAGTTTATATGTCTGTCGAAGCGTAACATTGATAATTATCCTCAGGCATTCTAAGCTGAAAACAATCTCAACATTTCCACCATCTACTCTCAGGACAAGATTTCGATGTGTACTCGCGAGCCGACAAATCACCACATGTTTTCACTTCATCTTAAGATCATTCGCACCCATCCAAGCAGAGACGAAGCCCTAGTAGCAGTCAATGTTGGCGCGGCTTCCTTCAAAATTTAAAGTCTTGTAATTTCTTTATAAAAGTATTTCTTTTCATTAACTCTTCCAATTACACTTCAATTTTAAGAGAATAGAAATGCACTGACATATTCAAATATTTCCCGTCATACTTTCTCCACGAAGATTTAAAGAGAGACATTGGGATCTTTTGAATCGCTCGCAACCTCAATCGATTTAACGGTAGCCTCGACGAACCTATACTACTTTTCTACCTATCACCGAAGAATGGGGAGTATGTTCATTTTGTCAAATGTATGTATGTTAACGCAAAGCTCACGAAGTGCACATATTCTTGATCAGCGTCCCATTCTAAATCGGTTTTACCATGTCCGTCTATCGGTCTGTGTAATATCTGTTGTAAACATTTTCGTGGCCGTAAAGATGAAGCTATCGACTTCAAATTTGCAGAAACATTAGGAGTTCCTGCACTCAAGTTGGCGTTGAAAATGAGCTAAATCGGTTGAAGCAGACAGCCACAGCACCAAGTAAACTGAGAACACTTCTGTTTTTCAAAAGGAAAAAAAAATTGATAAATTTACAAAACTTTGAACGTGTATTCTTTGGACTACGGCGTAGCACCTGTACAAAAATGGAAAAAATTGCCCCACCGACCCAATATTGTAATGTATCAAAATTTAATAAAATATCTTTACAATACGCAGGAACAAGCTTCAAAAATACCAAAAAGTGTACAAATTCTTGTCTGTTTGTCTGTCCGCCTGTCCAACCGTGCAGAATCTTTTGTAAACATTCTAACGTTAGCGAAAATGGGGATATCGCCTACAAATTTGCAAGAGAGTTTGGAAGTGACTTAAGCTTTTCAAAGGACGCGCCTACAACGCCCGCGCTCCAAAAACGAAAACTTTTATTTTGAAAAGAAAAGAAATCCCACTCCACGTTATAGAGCATGAAAATTTATTCCTTTCACTTTTTTGTCTTTTGAGGGTAGTTGTGAAGGGTATAAAAGATTCGGTCACGACCGAATATAATATTCTTATTCGTTTTGCTTTGAAATGCTTTTAAGTAATGTTTCCTGTTAGCCGCTTAGAGAAGTGCACGGTTAAACTTTAAGCCGCGTGCTCCCACCAGAGAGAATTTTTGCAGACGCTCTTTGCTGCATTGCTAAAAAATTTCTTTCCAATGGGGATTTTTTTTCATATATTCTAGAATGTTGAACGCCATAAAAAATGTTTGTTTTTTGCTTAATTTATAGTGGTCTCTCCAGTTTAATAAAAACGCACACTTTATTAAAGTAAAGGTGGTTTAACGAAGCAATAATAAATGAAGACATGTTAAACAAATAAAAATAAACAAATAAAATTTAAATGTTAATAATCTGAAGCATTGTATTGGACTTTTAAGATAAGTGATATTTCATTTTTCTTAATATATTAATGTTCCCGCAGATCACTTATTACAAGTAAGTAGAACTGTACGAACCAAACCTTTTGCGTTTACGAGAATAAGCCCGATATGGTAGAAATATTTTTTCATTTCTCTACAGATCGTTTTTTTGGATCGTTTGGATGGCCAAACGATGTACTTTCATAGCTAAATTCATGTAGATATGAAGCTTTCGCGAAAATCTTGAGTGACGATGTTAGTTCGGGTAGATTAACCTCAGTATACTTTCGCATTAACTAAGAACTAAGTGGAATCTAAAAATCACTGCCAGATTGTCTAACATATATGCCGATTGGAAGAGAATCTAATGGGCTAACGCATAGCAAGATAAATAAGAAGCGCGACTATAACCAGCGATAGTCCTCAGTGCGGTAGACTATACTTTAAATACGATTTTTGTGTGGTCGTACTTGTAGTACGAACCTATCCACTTTCTTCCTCCCCACTTCTTTCTGACCATCACCATAGTACACGTGCAGGGAATATCCTCTCGAGTGATTGCTCACATAAAAGAAGGCAAGCTCTTCTCCTATCGTTACAGATCATAAATTGACGGAAGAGAATGTAATGTTTCAACAACGACCCTATGAAAAGATCCTATGGGTAAAGCACACGCGACACCCGTTATTAGGTTATTGGGCCAACTGTCACAACTGTCACATTTCTCTAAGTATTGGTTAAAAAATATATGAAGTGAAAGCTGGTGATAGAACATAAAAATATGTAGATAGAGACAAAAAACTTCTATACGTTTTAAGCCAAAAGTTGGCCGACTTATGTGAAAAAGAGAAAAGTTTTCAACAAATTATAAAAATTACGTTATGTGCACCTTCTATGAATAAATGATGCATGCAAACTAGAGACGCGCAACAACTAACACTCGTAAAACAAGATTCATTACAACCTTTTTGGTGTTGGTGGCATAAAAATTTGCCTACATAAACACACTCTCCCTATAAACTTAAATTGTTCGCTCACTTACTTATTTCGCCATGTTTTGCATTCTGTCAGTTTTACACTTTATTATATAAAGCTTTTTGTTTTGATTTTTTGTAACTAGTAGCACAGACAACCAAAAGCACATCCGCTTAAAAAGTTATGTACAAAAACAATTTAATGAAAAATGAAATATGTGACTTACCGATATACAGGTTTGGGATTTGCGTATGCCACACATGGCACAACCACCGGATCGCCAACTCGTGCCGTAATACTCAAGCGTTTCTCGTTCATTATGGGGGGTACCAGTTCGCGCATTTCTTTAGAAAAATGACAAAAAAGAAAAACAGTAAAATACTTTAACAAATATCCTCCAACTAGCGACAAGAAGTACCTTACCGGTCAGTTGAATTTTTCCCACATTACCGCTCACAACGGAGTCCTGTGTCAGTTTATGATGTGTACGACAGCGATATATTTTAAGAGCATCCGCCCTTGTAATATTGTACACCAATAATTCACCAGTTGGCAGCATATGATTTTTTCCATCTTTAGTACAACGGATTCAGAAGAATTTCAATTTTATTCATAACGCCCGTAAAGAAGGAAGAGAACATAAAATTATTTTCATTTTTGCTAAATTGCATTACAAACCGTATAATCAATTAAAAAAAAGTCACACTTTTTCTTTTTGATTTATTACAATTACCTCCTTCCAGTGACGGGTATATATTGAAATTGGGTTCTTGCAACCAAGACGTCACCGTCACGTACTCCTTTACAAATGACGGTATATTGCATTTGATTAATACATTGCTACCAATAAAACCACCAGGATTTTGTACTTCCGGTTCATAACGTTGATTAACCACTGAAAATATGTACCAAATATTATTTAATTTAAATATATTTGCATACGATGCAGTTTTTTAATTAGTTACATTGTAAGCTCTATAAATGGACCCAAAGGCATTGGTGAAAGCATTTTAATCGTATTAATTAATGTCTACTTTTATTAAGGAGCTGCTAAGGTGTAAGCATGGGCGTAAGCGCGTCTAAATAGTCAGTGAATAATGAATACGCGCCCGTCATATGGATGACTACTAGTGCATGACTCTCGCTATAAGACTTATGAGAATCTTGCTTTTTCAGATCACACGATATTCCATCTATTAGACTAGCGTTATATTTAGCACAGCTCTATACAAACTTTAACTTCCAAAAGTGAAATTAAATTAACCATCTCATGAGATCATATCAAATTTTACAATGGAAATATCAAATGACATCCGTCGCCGTTTGTATCGTCGTATACCACGCATGTTGTGTATATATTAAGCACTCGTTCGAAGGGAATGCAAGTGCTCCAATATAAGTATAAGTACTTTCGGCCAAGTTTGAAATGAACTCTTGCGTTTAAAAAATAATATGAAAGCGCATCGAATATGGAAACGCTTAGTAACTAAGGCAGCGAATGGAAGAGTCCACCAAATAGAAAGAAATTCTTTTAGTGCTTTTAGCTAAAACAAACTTCGAGACGACCAAAACTCATATTTCACGGCATTCGGCAAGTTAGCACTTGTTTGAGGGCTGTCCTGACTTCAGTTAATTCTTTTACCATGGAAAAAAGTGAACTTTGTGCTGGGATTGGAGGCTATATTATTGTAATGTGAAACAACAAAAGAAAGTAAAGGAAAGGCTCGGTAAAAATTATGAGGAATCTGCCTTTTTAGATAAAATGATTAACTACCCTAGATATCGTTGCGCAAATATAAGTGATGAAAACCATTCGGATTGCAAAATTGAGTTTACAAAAGCAGCAAGGATTGAGAGATTATAGATAAAGTATTCGACGAAATCGACAAAATCGATAGTACGTAAGCTAGTTGTGGTCATACAAAGCTCATTTGGGCCTATGCCCAACATTTTGCACCGAATATGCAGAAAAATGTTATGCAAAATGTGAAATATTCAAAATCGATAAACAACGCGTTTAGCTGGTTACTTCAAAGAAGAAGATATGTAGGCGTAATTTATGTGAGCTTCTTTATTGATACCTAGCCATAGTAAAAGTGGGATTGACTGCCATGCATCGGAATCACATAAAGAATCGAAAAAATGAACATTGTCGAGTGTTCTCCATAACGCTCATGGCACATATGTAATAGACTACTTTGAAAAGATTAGAACGAAACCCGGCTTACATGATTCAGTGTTATTGGATGCGCTTAACAACGAAATCAAGAAGCCATGGCGACATTTAAAAAAGGAAACAATTTTGATTGCTAAGGGTAATGCACCAGCTTGTCCATCAAATGATGCGCAGGTAAAACTTAAGTTCATAAAAGTGCGAATTTGCGAATTGTATTCATTAGGTTTGGTCTTTACCTACTCTCACCTAATTTGAATTCCCTAAAACATGAACGTGTGATAAGCTCTTTGCGTCGATTAGTTTCGAAAAAGTAGAAGGAGACAAACGGAGGCGACTACAAATATCAGTTTAAAGCTCATTGAATTGCTCCAATTGAAAGCTTCAATGTTTAACTGATGAATAACACCAGTGATAGGTCAATGCTTGAAATTGATGCACTTCCAAGATCAGTTACGCGTTCATCTGCTTCTCTACCATTCCTGAACCTTTCATTTGTATACCTTTGATTGTACCCGTTTTTCATTATTATTAGATACCCTTAGTATTTTTAATTAAAACACTTTTAATGAAAACACTTATATTGAAAGATGCCAAAAACGTCAACTGGTGCTATTTAAATTTAGCAAACTTAAAATATTTATTAAAAATTTCACTTCTTTTTACCCGGTTTCGGCACAAAAAATTACAAACTACACTTGTCGCCATATAAAAACTTACTTTTTACAATAACACCTATGCCAGACAGGATGAAAAAACTAGATCTATGATCCCCCCACCATTTGGACCCGTTTTCATTATAAAATATTAATAATTAAACTTTTTTGTCAAAGTGCTTACTGATTATGAAAGTCATTATATGGAACGGAGCCTAAAAAATATCCAAATGTGGTTCAAACTTGATCTTGATAATTAATTTTTATGTCATATTACGGACAAATTTTTATCAAATGATATGAAACTGATATGGACTTCTTTGGCGTTTAAGAGCTTATTTTTCTTTATATGTAGTAGTGTCCAATTTTGACCATAGAATATCAAAAATTGGATATTTTTGCCTTATAAAAGCCTATTTTGCAAGCGAATGACGGTGGGATCCAATATATACACTTACATCGTCCAGATTCCGTAATGTTAATCTCTAAGCTCTCTATGTCAAATTAGTGTTGTGGAGCAATTTTGGTTAGGAATTATCGGAAATTAGACCTTTTTACATATAAAATTTTCAGTTTTCGCAGAAACGATTTTATTGGAAATGGCTCAAAAAATTGCCACATCCGATTTAAATTTTTCACGTTAATGTAGAGTGCCAAAACGCTATCGTTCATTGATTTTCGTGAAGGAATTTTGCAAATCACAAATTTCTCTATTATAATGATATATCAAAATAAGACGTTATATGGGGAATGATGGAAAAATCTGTCCGTTCTAACTTATTTTCAATAAGCTTTGGCGTAGGACCAAAACACGTTAGAGTATCCAATTTCCTCAAAATGTCGCACAAGTGATGATCTGTAGGTTGAATACAAAAATATATGAACAGAGGGAAGTAAGAACAGGCGGGCAGTCGCACAGGTTGGCAGACAGGCTTAGATCGAGTCAGACTCATTTTTGACACGTATAAAAAAAAGGAGAGTTTAGTTGAAGTTCTACTTACCGTTACATATATTCGCACTAATTTCATATACCCCTTACGTATAAAATAACTAACCTTTAATATTTGAACGGCGCTTTTTTTTTTTCTTTGAACGTAGTGCTATGTAAAAAACCCTGCAGAATGTAATCTTCCTGTTGACTTTTATCAATTTTTAACTGCGTGAGAGTAACGCCTCCACGGCGATGGGGGTCCTTGCCTTGGAGGGTCATGAAGAGTGTTACGGGTCGACTGAGTGCAGACTTTCCCGCTAAGAATTCGGAATTATTAAAAGGGCTAAAGATCCTGACGCGAGAATTGTGTGGCTTGACATTTGCTCCTTGTACAACAAATCCTACCTGGCGGAGTAGTTGAAGAATTTTCCACAATGTATGGATTCGGATAATCCACATGCAAGTGTATAAACTTAATGTCGACAATTGTAAAGCATTGTAGACGCAAAACTGTAGAATCCACGGGAGTCAAGTTGCCTGCTCGTTCAATGTCACGTGTACCGGCTTAAGCGGGTAGAGGTGGTTGCATCGGTTAAACACGGATCGAAAATTGGTGCTGGTCAGAACTGTTAAGGGGTAAGCTTGCACTTACTTATACCGTGAAAGAAACCTAGTTGGAAGCCTGTATGTACAAACATAAACTAGACAATATTGAATGGTTTTTGTAAGCTTTGTTCTTGTCTTAAGACGCTGGAAATGGAATATTGTTCGTTTTTATTCGATGAGTGAGGACAAACGGCTTGAGTGCGTCCTTTCGGGGAGTACCCGTGGTTGTTATGGTTATCCCCAAACGCGGAGCATTTAAATAATTAGAGGTGTTTGGTAGACCTCGCTTCGCCGCTATGGGAAGGTTTGGACCATAACCAAACTTTAATTCTGGTGTTTTTGTCTTGGAATAGACCCTCTCTCTTGCAGGTTTGGCTTGCAAACTGAGGGATGCTCTTATAAATTACCTATGATTCTATGAAACTCGTCCGATTAAATCATCTCACTTGTTATAAATTGACGATGTAAATTCAATTCATCTGTATGAGAGTAAGGTTCATCTATTGGTACCTCTTTTCCTTTGCTTATTTACTAACTTTTTTCTTAGTACAAGTTTTGCACTTGTCCTATATTGGGTGAACATCAACCCTTAAATTTCATTGCATCGTCAACTCTCTTACTCTTTTTCTGTAATTTTTTTTTAACCCATCAAAAACAATTCAGGATCGATTCACCAATTATGACTTCTTTTGTATTTCATATGAAAAGTTTTCTGTTCGAACAAAACCGTACAATTCAGTTGAAATTTAAAAAGCTCTTCAGCGAATACATTTTCTTTATTTATTTCTTGTAAGCTGATATGGGTTGAATTTCTCAAATATCACAGAATAAATTTTAACATGCTTACCAGCTTTAACAATAACGTCCCGCGACACTATAGAGCCAACGGCATTGTTTACCACACATCTGTATACCGACCAATGTACATCTTGACGGAACTCTTCAGCTTCGAAAGGTGGAAAATATAAAGAACCATTAGCTAGAATATGGCGAACCTGCGAGAAAAATATTCATTTTCAATTGCTTAACATGTTGTATGAAAAAATTAATAGCAAATTAAAGCTTATCTTTCATCATGTGCTCACATATACAGAAACACTTTTATTATAATGAACGATTCAAAGAAGTAACCACAAACACAAACGTCGTCATGTATTTACATCATACTCAAGTGTGTGAATTCATTCGAAATTATTATCACTGCACTTGTGATCAGAGCGTTTTTTTTATATAAAAGTGTCTCTGACGCGTTAATGGTTGCATATAAAGTACCTTAGAGATGGAAGTGATAGGATTGTTCTCCTTATCTAACCACTCAACATTCGGTGGAGGATTGCCATGTGCTATGCAGTCAGCAATGCTACCCGCGGTATTCGTAAATTCGATGCGACTTGGTGGCTCGTGTGAGAAGTTAGGCCCCTGCGTGTCAAAGTAATTGGAAGCTTCTGTAATGGAAGCAGCAAAGAAAGGAAATATAAAGAAATGTATAAAAACATATTAAAAAACTTAGCTTTTTGTCTTGATGGGTTGGCAAACATCATCAACAAAACGAATTTAATTCGAAATTAACATTAAATGTTGTGTTGATTTCAGATGTAAACCTAAGATTGTAAATTATACGCGCAATCAGCTAACAACATCTTTATATAGACCTCTCTCTTTACACAACGTACAACATTTTTGTTTACAAACGTTTTGTATGCACAAACCTTCAACAAGTTCTGCTTTCATCCAACTTCACACATACACATAAAAAATTCTCTTTTTGTCAATAAACCAACAACAGCAACAACAACGCAAATGTAAAAAAAAGCAACTTCCATCTAGACATCTTTTGGCTTTATTGTGTATCGCAACGAGCACATAACATTTATAACAAACGCAACAACATATTATGATTATTATACTGTTACTGTTGATGAAGCTGCTGCTTCTGGTGTGGCTACGCCATAAGTTGCTTTAAAGCATCATGATTAAGAAAGGAAAAAAGAAAAAAAAAAAACTTTCTTATTATTGCTATTACAACTTATGTCGTTGTGAAGTGTGTGCATGCAAATGACGACGTATATGGTGTGTGCCGCTTAAAACGAGAACATTGACGCAACGTTTTCAAACAAGTGAGTTACAACATTATGTGCATAATATTACACAATCGTTTTGGAACACCACATATGCACAATATGCACAGACGAGCAATACTGCCTGCAGTGTCTGCATTCATATTTTGTAATGGTGAGAGGGTAGTAAAGCACGCGGTGTATTGAAGTACGCCCTTCAGAAATTTCAAAAACTTCAACTTTCTGCAACATTTACGGCAAAGAGGCAAACAGGAAATTGCAAGGAACAAACTCAAGTATCACCCACCATATCCATCCAATTCAACTAACTCAGCACCGTCCTCATCGCCTTTGTAGTCGTCATAATAAAAATAACAACAAAAACATGGCAAACATACACAACATGAATGGTAGAAATGCGAATAGAAGGAGAACTTGTATAAATGCCCGTCTGCCCACCTGCTTCCTTACTTAGCTGAATCATGTTCGTTAGCTTGTGCGTTCGTTTGTTTCTTCGCTTGTACGATGCCCACATATATGTTTATATACTTATAAAGGAGTGCTGCCGTATACAAAATCTAAGCAGACATTAGAATATCCATATGTTCATAGGATGAAGGATTCTATTAACATCTTGCAGAGTTTTATGTGCGTGTTGGAAAAAGAAAAATTTTCTCTGTACGATTTAAATCTTTTGACTCCTCTTTAGTCACCGATAACAGTCCAAGTCAAAATTGAAAATTTTCACTAATAGGCAAACATTTTCTTGCAATTTTTGATTAATTATCAAGCATGTATATATAAAACAGGAATTTTAAAAAAAGTCTTATTGTATTTTATTGCTCATTGTATAAAACGGATCAAAAATATTTTATTTGAACTATTACCGATTATTGGCTATACCATTTTTCCCACCTGGCTGACAATTTGAATCCCAAAAAATCACTGTTACTCTTTGGAGGCAAACCAGCCATCGAGCTGTTTTCTTCAGATATGTGGTTTTTTGGTTTCTGGCATATTGGTGTGTGGAAAGTCAGGTTCTCGATCGAGACATAAAAACAAATGCAAGTCACTTAATTCATCGATTTGGTCGTGCTACGACTTATCTACAAATGCAATAGTTTTCTTTAATTTGTTTATTTATTAAATAAACAAAAAGTCCATATTAAGTATGGTTGTTAAGTATGGTTGGACTCACTTCGATCGCCTGAATGTCCGTACTAAATGTATGACGGCAAGCTAATAAATGAAGAAGAAAAAAAACTAAAGCTTATGCCAGCACGGTTAATGCGCTTAAACAAATAATTTTATTGCAGGAAAAAAAGGCAAAGAAAAGAAAGGAATTGAAAAAATGTGATCAGTAAATATTTATTTGTCAATTATTGTGCAACGCTAACCAGTACGAGTGGTAAAAGGTACTTATTAATATTTCCTAATTTCACATCAAATCAGAATACAAATACAGCTCGTAAATCACATGCACAGGTAGTTAAAATCTTGCAGTGAACATTGGAAGATTCACCAATTAGAAGGAATAGTTTGTTTTGCTTTTGTAAAATTGAAAATTTTATCAACAAAAAAAAAAACTCGTAGAGAATCATGTCAATCAATTCTTTGGTATGAAATTGAAACAAGAACTAAAACTTCATCAAGCATATTAAACACACAAAACATACTAATGCAAAAGCAAAATAGATATCCAATATAAGTGCACATGTGACAATATGTACATAAAAAGGGTTTAACACGAAATGGCGAATCTAAAAAAAAATAAAAAATAAAAGTTTAAGTAAATTACAAGCATTTTTTTTTTTTTTTTTTTTTTTGGTTTATAACGAGGGACGTACATGCTGAATGATGAAAGTGAAATTTAGACGTTGTAAAGGCAAAAAAGAATAAGTATGCAGTCAAGGAAAAGTTTGTGCCTGATCGTGTTGCTTCTGCCCTCATTTTAAACAAGCATGCTTGAAAGACACATATCCAGTACGGATGTAAACGAAGAAACATGCAGCAACAAATGGAAAATGAGCTTGCAATAAAAAAAAAAAATTTCTATCGATGTTGATGTACCTTACTTTCAATGGTCACAGGAGTGAATCATAGGGCAAAAGTGAAATATAAGGTCTATATGAACACGTTAACTTTATGTTTTGAATGAACAAAATATAAGAAACTTTTATGAATTTTGTTTTATACATAGAAGACAAAAGTAAAGTAGTAAGTAAAGTGATTAATCATAATTTCAAATTGTGTTAGCCTACCAAGTTATTTACATTTATCGTGGCATACCTATTAAGAAATAAAGATTGAGCAAAGAAATTGAATTCTTATGCAAGCAAAATTCATCATCAGCACAGTCGATGTCTGGGGCGTGGCAATTGGAGGGGATGGGGGGGGGGGGGCAGTTGGAAATAAGAGGGTTAGCACAAGGGGAAATTACAAGAGGAATTCCCTAGATTGGATATGGTAGGAGGCGATGGCATAACACCAGCTTTGCCGCCCCCGAAAGAACTAATTAGACTCGGTTATCCTTATTACAGCTTGCAATTCCCCTTGAACGGACAGTCTCACAGATGGCACGCCTGCACCTGTCCACTAATTTTGACGCTTGGGAGTTCGCCACAAAACGCAATGCTGTAAAAAATACTGTTGCCTTACAATATGTGTTGCCAATGTCAAATCTACAAAAAAAAGACAATCTTAGACATCTATATCTTTTGCACATAATCTTAGAGACATCTATGGGCGAATTCGGGCTTCACATTTACGTACGTCGTTCGTGGTACATGCTCCAGTTTACTACTAAGAGAGGCTAATGCAATCAATCAAGCCAGTGCTTGTAAAGTACAAGTTCGTTCATAGAGAATTCCGGTTTCAAACATAAGTAATAATTGAAATTTGCATAAGGGATTATCAGTAGTAAGCAGAATTGATAGGCAATTAGTGGATCCCAAATAGCAACACTGTGACGGACTTCATTATCTTAAGTAGATATCTTATACACAATTACACATAATTAACTATGCTTACCTTTTGAATCAAATGGAAAGGAAAGACTTAATTTTAATTTAAAAAATGTGAAAAGAAGCAATGGTGAGAAAACGTTTTTTGCAATTCTGGACATAAAATAACTTTCTGTTATCGTTTGTTAATCAAAAATTCGTTCCATTTCACTGTCTATATGGCTCGTTTACATTTTGTAATTGAAAAATAAAATTCGAGTCGAGGGCGACTGCGTGAAGTAGTAAAAACTGCCTTGGATTTGTAAAGCAAAGAGATTATAGAAAACTTCCGGAATACAATCGTAATTGGATTTACTATTTATAGCAAATATAGTTGCAACTTATTGCTTATGAGGTCATTTTTGCGAAAAATAGAAGTCGTGTTTCTTGTCCTGATTTGCCATGGATTGGATACGTTAGACCAGTTATTCGAAATTATCAAACAATTCTTTAATATTGGCTTACTTTGTGTACAATCCAGCATATAATAATAAAAAGTATTAAGACTTCTTCTCTTTTCATAGCATTGAATGAAATACTAATCGAGAGTGTCTCCAGAGAGAACTAAATGACAAGAGCGCTTAAGAAATTTCTCAAAGTAAGAATTAGTACATATCTCGGGGATTGCTAGTGCTTCTGTTATCATTAATAGTAATAATGCTGTGAATTAGTAGCCATTTCAATGCGTCTCGTTTTTATACCCATTATTTTTATGGGATTATAATTTTGTTTTCTTGGCATGACGTATACAGTATTAAATGTTTACAAAGCAAAAACAAATTTTAGCGAATATGGGTTATGTTATAAGTGTAAGTGTACATGTAGGGGAAAAAACAAACATTAGGTAGAATATGTTATTCGTTTCCGTTTCATCGTTTATATCAGCACACATTAAATGCTTCAATAAATTTCAATGAAAATGAATACATATGATGGGATATGAAGAAATATTTCCTAATTAAAGTAAGTTAAATAAAAGCAACAATTCATCTTTATAAAATACATTTTTACATACATTTAATATATTTAAAATATTTTATATTATATCCCACATGAGATGCTATTAACGTTTCGGACAGACTGCTTCAGTAAAGTCTCTCTTGATCATCGAGGTCAAGCAGTTTGCGCACCGTATTTTCCATCACCCAAACTATCTAATCGGTCTTAAATGGGTGATCTCATTAAATGTGTAAGAAATATTTTTTTCTTCGAATATTTTGCCAGGGGACGCTAATGTCACGTTCTCTGTTGTGAAAAGTATTTGCAATCGGAAAGTATTTCGTAATTTTTAAGTTTTGTTCGAAGTTTACCATATCCTCTATGACTTGAAAAAGATGAATAGTTCATGAAAAGTTCAGAACCTGAGTAAGTGTGTTGCTAGTATTCAAAGTGGCATAGATCTGAACCAAATCGATGGTAAAGCAAAGCAAATTGCTTAGGCAACGTCTAATATTATCCATTCTCTCGCCAGAAAAGGGCTTTGCAATGTAAACCATCATAGTAAGTTCTGCAAAAACCACCACTGTCTATACGTCTAGTCGCATACTTCTGCGACTAATATTGAAATTGAAATCTCTAAACTTGGCTAATTGGCAATTATTGGTTCGACTACACGTCCCAAACGAAACGTTAAGATAGGGAAAGTAAAAAGAAAAGAACATACAATAAAATCGACAAGAGCTTAGGCTTTCCATTGTTATTTTCTTTTTATGCCTTAGTATGCATTAATAAACAAATTGAAATGTGTAGTTGCAAAACAACTAAGTTATTCATAATCCACGCTACACTAAAAGGTATGTTTTCAGCTTAAAATGTATGATTTTCAAGAGAATTTGCTTGGACCTGCTATTCTGAAAGTGTGTACGCGCGAAATATTGTTAAGTTTAGTGTTAATACTATGGAATGCTGTATACATTGCGGACTTTTACTATTCTTTTCATATTCAAACTTGGTACTAATTCCATTTTAGTTTTCTGTTACACTTGTTCTTTATCTTCTCCAATGTTCCCTTTAATAGTTACACGATTTCTACGCTTTGCATGCTTTGCTGTGTTAAATATGCCAGTCTTTTGAAAGTCTTATGACTTCGCACAAATTCAGATGCCTATAGCCTGAATTGACAGAATTACTGTAAGTAATTAGACAGACGGATGAGGGCAGAGGGCCGTTTTTATTTTCGAATGAGTATATAATATAATCTAATAAGTTCGTCAACACCCAAGAAACAAGTTGTTCTGCAAGAGTGAGTCAATTGGAAATAAAATTTTATACAGGTTTGAGTAAAGACGAGGTGATTAAGTTTGTATAAAATATTACAAATTGGAAAATAAATGAAATGAATTTTAATGTCTAACCTCACGTATTAATAAGTATTATTAAGCTTTAATAAGTAAATAAAAACTAAATTCAGATTTATGTGGGTTTGTAAGTCAAGCGAATTTACCCGCATTCCAACTGTTCAATCGGTGCAACGACCCCGGATGAACCTTTTTGATGATGAGTAACAACTTCAGTAAGACCTCTCGATATGTCGGAGAATACGCTCTTTCAAATTTATTTCCTACTTTACAATAAAAAAAATTTCATTTTCGTTTTGTTCCCTCCGGTGTAAACATGAAATATGCTCTCAATTTAAAATTTTTAAACATTGTTTTTTTACACAAATGCTCTTCTGACCTGTTTCAGGAATATAATTTTACAAATTAGAACAAGAAATAATAAAGAAGGACGTAAACGTGGCTGCTTTGTACCTTCTTGAAAACGGGTGCACACATACAATGGAAGCATGCTCTCGTATTTTTGAACGGTTTACATGGCATTTATATCCACTTTGAAGAAGATTTTATGGCGCACAAAAAAAAAAGCGCAGACGGAAGTTTTAATATAACAAGTGATATAGACTGGTTTATTAGCAAGAGTTACGACGAATTTCACATGCTCTTCCTCTTTTGGTTGAATCCAGAACAATAGATATTCATCCCACTATATTGCGTAAGCAAAGTTTCCCTTAATGGATCTCTTATTTAGATTTAAAGAATTAACACTTACTTATTGCACAGTTACACACTTACATCCGCGTATTCTACATTAACATTTTACGTTATGTGCACGTGTATGTACATATACATCTTATGCCGTTGACGTTGATGACGAAATTGCACAGCCCATCAAGTCAAAGTAAATTACACTTAGCTTCAAAAAGATGACAGAATGTATATGTGTGCATGGGTTCCTGCATACAAGTATTTGACAACGTATGAGTTGTTCAGATGTTGAAAGCGATATCAATATGAAAAATGTAAAGGTTTGTATATCTTAAGACTTAAGTGTAGTTTACAAAACACCTCTCAAACCACCAATAACTGTGCTCGCTATCCACGCATACGTAAGCATGAAAAAATGTTTTTAGCAAACAATTTTCCATTTATGATTTGCATCGTCATTAATTTTGTTGAGAGATCATCGCGATAAGACATAACCTCCCAAAGGAATCTGTGCGAATTCATTCAACAGCAGTGAGGTCTTTGACAGCATACATATATATATATATATATATATATATATTGCAGCCACAATAAGGATAATAATGATGACGATAAGAAAAAAACGTTGTAATGATGATGATTATTACTGTTAGTTAGTTGTTGAAAAGGAAAAAAATTCAAGTTAAATTGTTTAACGTCTAAGCAATTAAATCAACAAAACTTTGCTACCCGTTTATTTTGATTAATCTACGTTACAAAGAAGTAGTTTGTTCATATTTTTATACCTAGCACACGCGGTAAGGGTATATTGAGTTCACGTACATTTTTGCAACATCGCCCATCAATCTAATCCATATCCGTATACTATACCTTTCAATTTACGTAATTTTCACGCCATTTTCATAAAATTTACTCTGCTGCCATATTTTGTCTATTGAATATAGGTTGAATTGGATCATTGGTACGACAACTTCCCACACAAAGTTCTATTTTTTATATATATCGTTATATGAAAAAAAGCTTGCTATGTTAACGGAAAAAGCCTCATCGTAAATTAAGCAAATCTCGAAAGTTGGAATCGCTACTTTGGGACCGCTTTTGAACATCCTGCCATACACGTATTTTATGGTGAAGATAAATGAATAACTATGTTCCGCGACGTGTAAGTGTATGTTTAAATGTAATGTTTAAAGTTTTTTCCATTATTTTTGAGTCTTATCTACTATTCGTTAAGTACACATTAATTCTTGCTAGCGTTCGATCATACCTTTATACCTTTTTCACAGTTTCAAACGAATATAATTAAAGCATCATCCATTACTCATTTAGATTTACATCTGGGTAAATTTGCACCCCTATAAATTTTACATAGATACTGGCATTAAATGCGTTATGATGATATGTGTAATTATAAACTATTTCAACATCTGAGTTAATGCGAATGGGGATTTTTACAAGTAAGCACATGAACGTATGTTCGTGGCTCAACTCAACACAAATGCTTATGCACATTTGTCTACAATGGTAATTAGCATTATCATTATTACATATATGCACGCTTACTTACCTGTTATGCCAATTATTAACACGACTACGGCACATAGTAAAAAACTTTGCATTATTTCTATATGAAGTTTTATTGAATTTCGTATTATATGTTCTCTCATCAATAGTAGGTCCCCATTGTTTGTGTATTGTCTGCGTATTGAAACATTGTTATCGGTTAAAGTCCACATGATTCAGCAGCAGTAACGTTCGATTGCTTATGCCCCGACGTTGTCTTCTCCAATTTGTCAAACGAACATAATTTTTAATCTGCAAGCGAATAAAAAGAAAAATTATTATTTAATAGTCAAATTTAACTTATTAAAAGTTATAATTATTGGCAAAAAGCCACTCCAACATGAAAGGACAGAAGCCTTGTATAACCTGACCTGAATGCATTAATAGTTGCCGACCATCGTGGTTTCATTATATAATGTATTGACTGTTAATGTATTGGAAATTCTATAGAAATTACGTATACGAAATTAAGAACTTATCAAAGGAAAGTTTATTAAACACACAGAGAGCTTAATTGTGAAATTTAATTGCGACAATGAAATTCTCTTGTGAGCAAAGAAATGTTTAGTTATGTGACAAGTGTAGTCATCATAAGAAAACTGACTTTAACACCAGTAATTAAAACAACTGAATAATATTTCGTCCTGTAACACAAATAGTTATGCATCCAGTAATCGTCAGCAAAATTACTGTGTACTGGAAGCCCATCACGTCGATTGGCGCGTGACGACTTAAACACATATCTGCAAGGTAAGTGCCACTGCCTTCAAAGTACTCAACTCAAAGTTTATTACATCACTGCTTCCCAGGATACACAAGTGTATTAGATTCGTCTTTAATAACATGACCGTGACAGGCCATCTCTCAAATTAGTAAATGCATGCAAATATTATGCTTAGGTCGAAAAGTTGGAATGGGTTTCGTCAAATTATTATGTGGCCATACCTATCCAAAGTTTATAAACGCATGCTGTGTGAAAAAATTCCAAAGCACATATGTCACTATGTTTGTTGGTTTGCAATTGCTTCGAAAATTCTACAGTTAGTGACACGGTACGTTATTATACCAGGCTTTTCGTCAAGCATTCCGAAAAGAATGTCCTGCTGAGCACTAGCAGTCTAAAGTTTCGCCAGTTGATTCCTAACGTCTCTAATGGGTATTTACGAATGTTTTAAGACTGTCGGTACATGCCCTTAAAAGGTTTTGAAAACAAACCAAAAACAACATTCAGGAAATCTCAACTAGGCGACAGTCTAAAATTTAAACGTATTTCAAAAATTAAGGAACCGGGACGACAGAGGCTGCGAGTGATTTGATAGCTGTCGATGCATCTGCAAAAGAAGTTAGAAATGTGGGAGAAAGAGTTCGATTTTAGGTTCGACCTCCACTAGATATAGGATTACAAATTTTCTTCACGTGGCCTGCAAAATGGCTTGGAATCTTCAAGAAAAGAAAATAAGGAACGAAAAAAAAAAAGGATCGTAAAAATTAATATAGAACGTGTTCTAATAAAGTAATGTGTCCATAATACGTTTAAAAACTTTAAAGGCGTTTCTCTCGAGTCGCATCTTTCCTAAAGAGTTCTATATCACATAAGTTCGACATTTTCCTTTATTTTCATGCTATTTTTAACATTATTTATTATTATTATTATTATTATTATAATTTTAGACTAATGAAATAAATTCTTAGCTTAAGATATTATTATAAATATACATTTGATATTGAGTCTGGCAGTTTTAATAAAGTAATTTATTGAATTGATATTCTGTTCTGAAGCTGATTTTAGAATGTCCAAAGGGCTAATCGTTCCAAATGCAGTACTTCTACCCAAGGAAAAGTTAAGGCAGTCGCAGAGAATGTGCTTTATAGTGAGAGTTTATCCACAACTGCAGGTTGGGGAGGAAGACTTCTTCAAGATCCATTGGTGAGTTGCAATTGTATGACCAAGGCGAATTCTCGATATTAACATTATTTTTAAAACGTCATTTTCTAGAGAAAATCTTAGAATATTTACGAGAAGCTGATCCAAACATTTTTTATTAGCAAAAGATTGCCTTTTTTTATCGATAATTGGACGTTTTCACCCAAACATTTAACTATCATACAAGACCCGATATTTTCTGAAATTCCGATCGTGTCTCATCAAATAGAGACTTGTAGATTAAGTGGGTGTTGTCTATTTTTTATGAATTCAAATTTGCAACTACAAGTAGCATGTTCAAGTTATGCTATATGCCGCAGAGGTCCTTAAATTGAACATGGCGCAGGAGAATCGCTCTAGTATTTTTTTTAACACCTAATCTTATGTTTATTAACTCCCTTCTATATTTTCATATTTTATACCCATTACCAAAGGATGAGGGGTATATTCGTTTTGTCAAAACGTTAGCAAACCCCAAAAGGAGGCGACCTTACAAACTATATATATTCTCGATTAGCATTAAGTTCTGAAACGATTTAAACATGTACGTCTGGCCGTCAGTTAGTCTATGTAACGTCTGTTGTAACCATTCTCTTGGTCGCAGAAATGAAGCTATTGAGTCTGAATTAGGCAGAAACATTGGAAGTTCTTGCATGCAGGTGGTATCAAAAATAGGCCAAATCTGTCGAAGGATTTTTAAAGGATGCGCCTACAACGCCCACACGTATGCCCTCCAAAAAATTGGTTCTAAAAATAGAAAAAATCAACCGCGTCCACTCCGTATTACAGAGCACGAAAACTCTGTTCCTTTACTTTTTTTGCCTTTTTAGGCTAATGGTGATGGATAGAAAAGATTCGGGCACAACCGAATGTAATTCCCTTACTAGTTTATCTTTGCTTTTATCCAAAACAAAGTTGTCTAAGAAATGTTTCTTTTAAGCTGGTATAGTGGCTTTGCCTTTAAACCGGCCTATAAGTCATTCTGCGATTTTTGCTTTGGCAGCGCAATCAGAAATCTCTGATATCGTTCACCATAATATTCTGTGTGGAAAACTCCAATAATTTTTAACACAACATTCTCTGTGGAAGACTTACGAAACTATTTTCATTTTGTAATTTCTCAAAGTCTACAGTGATTGAACGCAATTTCTCGTACTTAATGACGGTCGGATGCAATGATTGTATCTCGAAACAAAATGAAGGTCTGATATTTGTCTAATATTTGAGGTTTGGGAAAATCGATTATGCGCTAATCCCAATAAATTGAACTGCGTGTGCGTATCTGTAAGCTGTAAGGCTATCGTTGTACGGCTGCAAATTGAGTGCGGATTACAACGACATTGTATGGTCCAATGTAATAGAGTAGGTAATATGGTACCGCTCTATATGTAGATTTTCGTTTGACACATTAGATATTATATGCAGGGGGAGCAGTCCGCTCGGTCAATTATTATCGTATACAACTTCCTTTTTGCCAAACTCTCTTTGAATTCCGTTTCTTAGCGAATGGTACCTCCCTCTGGCTAAGCTAGCTTACCCGCACAGTTTCAAACAGAAAAATTCGACCGATTTTCGTTTCAAGAAACCATACATCAAAAATTTAAAAAAAAAATTCGTCCGATTTTCGCTTCAAGAAAACCTACATGAAAAATTTCTAAGAAAAATTCATCCGATTTTCGTTTCAAGAAAACCTACACCAAAAATTTAAAAGAATAATTCATCCGATTTTCGTTTCATCTACACAACAAGACAATTATCTTTACAATCAGTATACCATGCGTCCTTAAGACTGGTTACCGGCAAAATGTGTTACGAACTAATGTCCTGCGCCGTGTCACGTTTTCATTAATAATATCACTAAAATGTTATAGGCCTGTATTGTTTTGGGTACTCTTGTAATAATAAGATTTTATCAAAGAGAAATAAAGAGTCAACTTTATTCTTGGAACAAAAGTAGTGCTGTTACTTTAGCACCCATTCGCATTATTTATATGAGCAAATATTCTATTAAGGGTTTCTTTACATGACTGAATTAAACAGTATCCATACGCTATGGTGCACTTACAAATATGTTCATGTACAATAAAAAAACTAAAGACGAAATAGCAATTTGTTCTCATTTCATCGTTTAGATGAGCACATATTGAAAGTTTCTGCATTTTTAAGAATTTTCCATAGAAATAATAAAACATTTTTCATAATTAAAAAAGTTATATTGTAGGAATAATTTATGTTCGTTTAATATAGTATATTTGCGGCATTGCGCAAGACGTGTTAAATGTTCATTTTACACGGTTGATTCCCCAGAATATCAGGCCTACGCACCCCAAATTCCTCAGTTTACACATAATTTATTGCAATAATTAATGGATTTATGAATGTATAAAATATTAAGGTGCCATTGCTAATCCCAAGTTATGCGATATGAATTGCTTATTGCTTATGTGATTATCATGCCTCAAATTTGCATGGTGTCCGCCCGTGCGTTTCGAGCACTATCTGAACGTAAAGTTCGGTAAAAGTGCAATGTGGGTGAGTGAAGATTTCTCTTGCATAATAATCTTGCCACGAGATATATTATTTCGTACCCTAACGGACATACGTTATATCCTTAAGGAATTTTGCAAAGAAATAATGGCCCCACACCATGTATACTGAAAAACAATCCTAATGGCGAAAGTTAATTAATATTAATATTTTAAGCGTAGAAAGAAACCAGAAAGTCTTGGTTTCCTTGCGTTCAATCTACAAGTCGTAGTTTTCACAATATATTGCTACGCTGACTTGTTTTGGCCTACAGAAGCACGGACCGAGCAACTATAGCATGATGTAGGGTATGTAACGGTGGGCCGCGACCCATTATACTGATTTTATTTGTTTTTAATTGAGGAAATCGTGGCTTAACATTTTGGTGGAGGGGACGGGAGCGACTTGTTGAAATAAACAAGTAACGCGCCCAGTGCAATAGTTCAAGGGTGACGTGGAAAATTGCGTAAAGTATGTTTTATGTATTAAATGTGTGTTTATCCAAATACCACACTATATTAAATAATCGTAAATTATCCTTACAATATAATTTTTCTTAATTACGAAAAATATTTTCATATTCCTATAGAAAATTTTCATTGAAATTGATGGAAACATTTGACAAATGCAAAATTTAGAAATCCTTAATGTATGCTGATGTAAAGATACCGAACACAAATAACATTTGTCACATTATTTTTTTTTCGCACACATATATGCACTTAAAAGTGCAGAAGGACATATGCTCTTTGTATATATTAATATTTAGTCATATGAAGAAAGGGTTCACAGTATCAGAAAG